GTCAATGTAACCATAAAGAACCCTGTCTGTACTGTGCTAGTAGATCTCATTATCCCTTATACAAAACAGGACGTTTATATCATATTGTGCAGCAGGCGGTGGTACGGAGGATGCTCTATACATGACCGGGTGCACGCCAGAACACTACAAACTATTGCTCACGCTGGCTGTGGTGTCACATGCAAATGTAGTGGGGGACATGGTTGTCACAGTGGATGTATGTGTGGGGGCCAAGCACAATGGTGCCACTATGCTGGGTTTGCAGGATATCTTTGTGGGTAGGTGAAAGTCTTTGTATACATACAATGTTGATTGCGCATTATGGAAAGTTTTGCTTCTATGGATATGCTATTCCATTGACAGGCTGAGTTCCTGACCTGGGAGGCTGTTTCTAATTTCTTCCGTTGGATGCCAATTTACTCGGCATGCTTTAGCTGGTGCAGACTAAAGACCTTCCTCTACAGTATGTTCCCAATTACTGGCTCTGCGAGTGGGTCTATTGTCACTATATGTTAGCCTTAAAGGTATTTACCTTGATGGCTAGCATAGTGATAATAGGCCAATTATTCACCAAAAATGAACATTTACAGATATTGCCCTTCAATTATTTGTAAACGTTCATTTTTGGTCAATAATGCAAAAAAAAAAAAAAGCCAAAGGGCCTGGTATGAATTTGTAGGAGATGACGCACCATATCATGTGGGGTTTGAGTGGGTTTTCTCTTAAAATCCATAACAGACCCGAAGGGGCTGGAATGGAACTTTCAGCGGGGAGTGGGAGCGTCCCCTTAACATTTATAGCTGACCCTCCTCTACAATAAGGGACTGCTCGAAATATAGGGTATCAAGACAAATGGAATCCCCAACCGCTTTGTGTACAGACAGAAAGAAGCAGCGCAAACTGTCATTTGTTGGCACTCAACACAGCATTTTTTTTCCTCGTAACTGTCAAGTTTTTTTTTGTTTTTTTTAATTCTCATTTTATGTTTTGCTGTAGTAGGTTATATACACCACACAGATGTGTCACTTCACAGGCAGGTTCAAGACATTCCCCAAGCATGTTATTTAAAGGAATTGTAAATTTATATAATTGCCCTTTAAGCATAATTAAAATCACTGATCCCCATTAAATGGAATTATTTTTACTTTTTTTTTGCATTGGGGGTACAGCCCCCATGCCCTTTGTTTGCCAATCCCTTGCCTATTAGCCATAAATGATTCATAAGCATTGGCTCCCATTGACTTAAATGAGGTTCAGATTTGGCACCTGAACCTAAGTAAAGTTCACCAAACCAGCCGTGAGGTGAACCCAGGTACGTTCAAATCATCACTACTTCTGATAAAATTTACTTCCTTGTAAATGTCAGTTTTGCTGTAGTAGGTTATATACACCGCACAAATTAGTCACTTCACAGGCAGGTTCAAGACAGTCCCCAAGCATGTTATTTAAAGGAATTGTACATTTTCAATGTTGCCCTTTAAGCATGAATTAAATCACTGATCCCCACCAAATGGAATTTAGAATTTTTGTTTTTGCTTTGGGTCATGTCCTTGATATCCTCTGCCTCCCAGCCCAGCCTCCCTCCCACCCCCATGCCCTTTGTTTGCCAATCCCTTGCCTGTTAGCCTAGAAAATGGCCATCAATGATTTATAAGCGTTGACTCCCATTGACTACATTGAGGTTCGGATTTGGCACCTGAACTTAAGTAAAGTTCACCGAACCCCCCCTGAACTGAACCCAGAAACATTCAGATCAACACTACTACTTATAAATGTGAATTGCATATATTTATTATCATGTTTCTAGAAGACTTTATCACCTACTAAAGAAGTATCCATATAAGCTGTGTGATGCATAGAGCTTCCTCCGTACTATCGCCTGCTCTACAAAATGATATAAACTTCTTTTTTTGTATAATAACACTATATGGAGTTCAGGGATCCTGTATATTAAGTGTGTAAAGACTGCATACTGGGGAATTTTAACAGAATGAGGGTACCCGGTGTTTCCCAAACCAGTTTTGGAGTGCCCAGACCTCATTACTGCCACACATATGATCTTTGTTATTGAACCCCATCCAACTGAAACTTCAAAGTTGGTCAAACACATTTGACTTTCCCCCATTTAGCTGTGCTAATAAACAATATGTTACCCTGCACTCCCTCTAGGTGCTGTACACATGAAGCTTTATTTTTTTACGGGCATCTGTCCGCACAGGGTCGACAAGAAGCGTTCTCAGATTGTGAAGCACCTGAAAAAGTGTTTCAATATCCAGTCATAGTTCTTAGCTGAGCTCAAAAAGCCATACTGTCTTCAGTTGTGAGTTTGCTCCTGGTGCGCTCAGTACTTCTAGAGACCTCTTCGCTGAAGGCATTTTGCATGAGCATGCGAACGGACTGTTGCACCCTCTTCTTCATATCTTTCCCCATGAAGACATAGAGTATGGGGTTGATACAGCTGTTCAAGTAGACCAAGGCCACAGACAGACTATTCAGAGTTTCCACTATTGTATTAGAAAAGTAGAGCATGATCACACCTATTATGTGGTAGGGGGCCCACGTGACAAAAAAAGCAACCACAATGCAAAGAACCACCTTGGTGGTTTTCCTTCCAACCTTGAAAAGCCGGGAACTTTGCACCTTTGAAGCCAGAAGGATGTAGCTGGAGGAAACAATTAGGAGAGGGATCAGAAAACCAAAAATCATGCGTGTAAAAGTAATGGTAATGTCCAAAGGAGGAATTTGGTAGTCCTCATCTGTGCTGTTATGCGATAAAGAATGGTCGATAGCATCATCGTCATAGTCCTCATCATAAATATACAGGCAAAAAGTAATGTTATCATATAAGATGGTCTTTCGGTGCAGGACAGCAGGTAGACACATCAAGAAGGACAACATCCAAATAACCACACATAGGGCCCATGCCATTCGTAGGGAGCGTTTATTTTGAGCCCACACCGGTTGGACAACCAGAAGGCATCGGTCAATGCTAATGGCTACCAGAGTGAAGACACTGGCAAACATGGTAAGGTGGACAATGACAGGTAGAATTTTGCAGAGAGCAGGACCGTACAGCCATTCGCCATGGAATAACTGAACAATGGACAACGGAATAAAAAGACAACAGGTGACATCGGCCATAGCGAGGTTCCAAAACCAGATAGTGTTCACAGTCCGTTTCATTTTCCAACAAGTGATCCAAATTACCATCATGTTCCCAGGGACTCCCACAAGAAAGGTGACTGTCATAACAATGGTGGTTAACACTTGCTGGCTGAAATGATGCGTGTTGGACTCTGAGTCCTCAGTCACATTCATCATCTTAAAATCCTGTAAAAAAATTAAATAAGAGTTTGAAACTGATTTCTGTGGAGTAAAACAGACAGTTCTTATTTCAGTCACCTTCATAAATAACCCACTGAGAGATGCTTACAGCCCATGTCCAGGCAACATTTTGTTTTATTAAAATAGACCCCCATGTAGGTTTAAGAAAAACAAAAGCAGCCCAGGATGCAATGCACACCTTCAATACGGAGCGGTTCCCTGTAGTATTTATTTTTCGCCACTAGTGGCTACTGTGGTTTTTCCCACCAGCCACAACTTAACTACTGTGTCCTGTAGCAAAGCAAAGGTAGTGACCATGGGGTCCTTTTGTCCTGAACATAGACCTCCATGGCAGGATCAGCAGGTATTCTTTACATGAAAGTTGAATATATAAACAGATTGAAACAGCTTTTGAAACTATATTACCATGTCCAAGGTTGTATGATAGTTTCGTGATTGGGTTTAGATTGGCGTAGACTATTTTGAAATCAGCATAATACTCACCAACTGGAACTTGAGGAGTAGCACGGTGGCAGGGATCGACACCACCTATCCTTCAAAGAGGGGTGGTCACCAGAGCATATCTAAGTGGGTGTATATCTATGGAGACTTCTGCAGGTCCTTAGTTTAACCTGCTGGACTCAAAACACCGAACCAGCCAAAGGAGAAGGACCCAGTTAGTGGTAGAAGATTGAGCAGCTAGTGGGGTTCTCTCCTGGAAGTGAGGTGCCAACATTGTCCCTATTATTGTAAGTATACGCTGGCATACTGTAACTTGTATTTTTTTGTGTTGTGTGATCAGTATTTCCAGGAATTTCTCTTTTGCACAATGAAAACTTGCTGAACAATAATAGGTATCTATGGTATATAAATCTGTATTTCTATATTGCATTTCCATAGGTTCCATAAGTTCTCTCTCACTCCTAATAACTAGATCCATCTAGAAGTTTGTAAACTTACTTATTGAAGATGTCTATAGGATGAACTTCCTCAATGCACTGACACAATTTAACTCAGCCCCGGGGATATGAACTGCCCGTTGTCACCACTCTACGTCTTCAGTCTGAACTACAACTCAACATCTGAACTTTCCACAATGTAACATCATCATTGCCAATCCATGATGGGCTATATAGTCTTGAGAAATGGAGATTGCATCACATCAAGTAGCAGGGAAAGAGACACAAAGCACACTGGGAATCGAGGAAGCAAACATCAAGCATCTTAAGTTCCCATGCACAGCCAGTTTGTTGCTGTGCCGAGCACTTGGGAACCCAAGAAACATAGGTCACTTTATTATGAAATCACTGACTTCCTTCTGCTTCTTAGGTTTTAGTTTAACTTTACTTGTTTGGTCCCATCACTAATGGCCGCTTTAGCCAGTAGTAAAGCATAAGACATGGCTGGGCTGTGCCAGCAACCAGATAGCTGGTTTTTAATCCAACAATAAACTGGCCTGGATATCCTTCCTCACTGCTCTGTTAAATATGTAGAAACAAAAGCTACGGAAGCAGCTACTGCAGCATGCTCGCTTTAAAACAGAACAGAAAGACCGGCCTGGAGCACATGAAGGAAAAGAATTGTGCGGAGGGGCAGCATGACAGGGGGAGAAGGGGAGAAGGGGAGACAACCAGAGTGGGGGTTAAAACTTTAGAGGTAGGAAAAAGGGGTTAGGAGGGGTTGCTTACCTTATTGGCTGGAGGTTTGCCAAGGCGGGACCCTTTAAAAGGCGATCCGAGCGGAGGTGGGGAACATTTTTCAGTGGAAGGGGCAGTCACATGAGCGATTTTTCCCGCCCAACCTTGTTTTTAAATTTTCTTTTTTTCTTTTCTTTTGTTTGGTAGTTGTTGTTTCATGTTCATTTGGGTTTCTGTATTTAAGGTTTGTCATGGCAGTGTATTGGCAGTTTGGGTTCCTTGAAGGTGGAATGGATGTCTGGAATAACGTCGGGGACCATCTTTGGTGTGGTGTCCTCTAAGTGGTGGTCAATTAGTCTGACCACTTAATTTTGGGCGAAAAGTGTCTGCGGTCAACAGATATTTGTCTCCGAGGCGGTGGTGTTGCAACACCAAACAGTTGATTCGGCTGTTTGTCCGAATCCAAAATAAAAAATTTAATATATTTCTGAATATACTAAAATGATATTCGGGCATACATAAATTCGTTTTCAGAACAATTGGCCACTGGCGTGTTCTGTGCATGCCCGCCGCCATCTTGGAGGTGGAGTGTGTGGCATCACATGCCGGTGACGTCACTCGCTGAACGAGCATGCGCGCCGCCATTTTGTAGTAGATTTTGGTATACACCAAGATGGCGGCGCTCGAACATGTGGGCGCCACCATCTTGGTGTATACCGAGAACTACCCCCAAATGGTGGCGCGCTAGTGCAGAACGGTTTCAGTGTGCGGTTTCGGATTCAGAGGCTCGTTGTCTCCAAATCCGAAACAACATCAAATTTTTTTCCCTTGAAGAAACGAATTAAAACGTTTTTAGTTGTGCACGTATCTAGAATGCGCTGAGGATGACACTGTGTGATCGAGCTGGATAGAAGACATGCTTGAGATCTTCGCTGGGAGAGACACCAGACTTGTTCCTGTGGTACATGCCATCTTGGCTTTCCTGGCACCTCCAGCAGACAAAGAGCTCCTCTGGTTCTCCATCCCAGACAGTTCCAGACCCTACCTGGGTTCACATCTGGCCTCTTGTAAACTTTTGGCCTAGTTAGCTTCTCCAACTGTGTCTGGAGGCAGACCACCCAAGCACATGGCAATTCCTGAGTATTTATGCACTTCCCCAGCATGCACCACTGACCATGAAACTCCTAGTGATTGGCTGGAGAGATAGACACCCCCCAGGTGCAGACAATAGCAGAACACCTAGGAATGACCAAATGATCACATGATCACAGTTCCAGCAGCACTAAATTTAAAGAGCCACTCTGCTTACGGCGAATGGGCTACACTTGATATTTTTTTATGTTGGAGCTATTTTTTATGTTGGTGACAGGGTCCTATGGTGGTGCAGGGGGAGGGAGGAGTACAGCTATGAAGATGTTTGTTAGCCTGTAGCTGAATGTCATTGGAACACTGCAGTTTGGAAATGCAAAAAGTGAACTTCACTCCCAGTCTGTATAAGGGGGATCCCACTAAAGGACCTTGTTCCACTACCACGCAGTCCCACATAGCATTCTCACTCTGCTCTCTGGCCACTGCCCTATTCCGCCAAGCCCAATTTCTGACATTCATGAAACGCCCTTCCTTTAGAGATGTACATCTGTCATCACAATGATAAACATCAAACAACAGATATTTTGTCTGAGGAAATGATATGCAGTCGTTCAATAGCCTTTAACGATACACATTACAAAGGGCCGCACTGATCAAAACTTACCTTTCAGCAACTTAAAGGGAAATTCCAACCTTTTGCAGAAAAATAAATAAATGCACACTCCTTCATAAAAGAAAAAAATAAATCTGCACGTATTATTATTTGGCATAGGAGCCAGTAAAGCATTGCAACCACGATCAGTAGATGGCGGGTGCAGTGCCCTGGCTCCTGCAGACTGTTCCTTCCATTCATGCCCGCACCGAGGAATGGACTTGAAGTAACATGGGCAGGAGGAAGTGTTAATTGAGTGATGTCACTCCACTTGTATACAGGCTGCTCTGCTATGGTGGCTGATGGGACTTGTTCCTGCCAAAGGATCTGTGAATGGATGATGTGGCTGTGTGAGTGAAGCCACGCAGAGGCGTGCTAAAAGGGAAACAAGCCTGCAGGGAGAATAACCCCGCAATTCAGGTAAGTGGGGGGTGTGGGGGGTGGAGCTTGCGATCTGCTTATGTGTAAGGTACATCCTAGATATGGTTCACATACCCTTTAAATGCCGTCCCATTCACATAGCATCACTTTAAATAAAGGAATAAAAAGCTGGCAATTATCTAGAAGTATCTGTCATCACTAAACATTTCTGAAAGTGTCAGACCAATCAGGATGCCGGCTCCATGCTCTCTCGTCACAAGTGCCCCTTATTCTTCACATTGCCATCCATTCTGAGCCATAAAAAGCTGCTTGTAGTGCCATGTATATAATCCTGCTCCTAAGAATCAAATAGAAAGGCAGGAAATATTTTCGTCTTTGTTACTCTTAGATATGCCGTGTGAATGGGAACCCCCATAACAATCATATAATGGGGTTTTTTTTCTCTCAAATCGCACTGCAAAAAGTGGCAGTACACTTTAAGGCGACCATATTTTTCCCTTTATATGCTGCAGGGCTTGTACTGCACCCCACTGCAGAAGGAGAAGTAAGACTTCAATCAGTGGAAATGCATAGCTAGCTAGTAACGCGGAGACCTCACAGAGATTATAGGAGCCACAAGCCAATTCTGCTGGATCAACATTCACCCGTAGCCCAAATATTAATTGGGATTGGCCCATTAAGGAACAAGTCTTACCTCTCTGCACCGGCATCAGCTGTGAAGAAGAATTCCAGGACAAGCACCGTATCGGAGTTTCAGGTCTGTCAGTGACTGACTTTTCTCAAACATAAAATACCAACTTCCTTCCTCCTTTATTAAAAAACAATGCAGAATATTTTTTTTTCATGTAGGGGGAAGTTCTCTAGCCCTAGTCACACATTTACAACCCCAGCTCCCTTTTAGAAGTCTGCAGGTAAGATTTGATAGATCATAATTTAATTTTATTATTGCGTCCCACTAGCCTCTTTATTTGCCCTTCTAGGGGTCCAAAATAAAACTTAAAGCTGAGCTCCAGGATAAGCAGATCCTCCCTAAATATGAGAGTCGTGTATTGTTACTTGAATCTTGCTGTGCTTTGTGTATTTTTTCCAGATCTGTGAAGTACTCTATTGTGAAACTTCACATATCTTTTAAGGAGCTTCCCGTAATAACGACCGATCACTGCTGCTCTCTCTCCTTGTGCAGGGTGACTGGTCTTGTCTCCTCCCCTTCCTCTAATAAAGACTGGTCACTGCTGCTCTC